CACATTTGATTTGATGGGTTATTTGTCATTAAACTAAAAAGCAGGACCTGAAGGTTAGGGTCATGGGAAGGTAAGAATGGATCTTAGAGAAGTTGGAGGTCAATATGATCAAAATTACAGAGTATAAAAGTTTCAAAGAATTTGCAGTAATATTTTTCAAAAGAGAGGTTAGGATGAAAGCAACCATACACACCACTCATACACACACACACACACACACACACACACAATTGTCAATGAACAAATTTAATCCATAAAATTTAATGTTGTCATTATTGATTGTTGATTATTATATGCATGCATGTGTATAATGTATTGATTTGAGTGTGGATGTGTACATGCCAGAGGAGAAATTTGGGGAGTTAGTACTTGCTTTTCATTATGGGTTCTGGGACTTGAATGTGGGGTTTTGGCTTACACATTGAGTGCTTTTACCTGCTGAGCTATCTTTCTGGATTTAAATACATTTATACACTAGAATATGCCATGGTAATAAGGTACAAGGGTAAGCAATTGCCATACTCAGACCTAGTGTTCTTTAAATCAATAGAGCGTTCCAACCAATAGTGATTTCCTAATTGTTGGAGGAAATAAAGTCATTGCTACCAAATTGAAAAATAGGATTTCAAAGAATGATAGCGGAATTTTGCTTATTTAGATAGTCAGTCTGATTAAACTGTTGTGTGCTAATTCTCATTAGACATATTATTTACTGAAGCAGAAAACTGTGCAAGTACAGGGAGTTCTATCTTTATGATTATGTCCTCTCAGAATCACTAGAAAACAATCCCCAGTAGAACAAGCAAGCCTGGAACATGTTCACATGATTGTGAATACTGATACACATAAAATTTCCTCCATAAATCCATAAAGAAAATGTTTCACTTAGTTATCTTTCAAAATATCAAAATAGCTGAGGATGTCAGCATAGTTTAGTGAAAACAATCATTTTTACACAAGCAAACATACATGGATCTCTGAATTTGTATGTTCATTATCCAAAGATTCAGTCAACCACAGATTAAAAATGTCTGAAAGATAGGGCTGGAGAGATGACTCAGCAGCTAAGAGCACTGATTATTTTTTCCAGAGTCCTGGGTACAATTCCCATCAACCATGTGGTGGGTCACAACCATCTATAATGAGATCTTTTGCTCTCTTCTGATGTGTCTGAAGACAGCTACACTGTACTTATATACATAAAATATGTAAATAATTCTTTAAAAAACTAAAAATATTTGAAAGAAATACATCTGCCTTGACTATAAACAGGCATTTATTTTGAATAAGATATAAACAACGTAGTATGAAACTCTTTAATAGTGTTTATAATGCGCAAGGGACAAGAAGAAGCCCAGAGAGAGCTTAGAATGTGTGAAAGAATGTGCATACATTATATGCAAACACTGTACTGTTTTTCTCTAGGAGACTTCAGTATATGAGGATTTGGATGCCACAGAAGTCTTGGGCCCAATCCCTGGGGACCAAGTACCAGTATGTGACTATATATTAGCTTTTTGTTTGAACTCATCAAAAATACTCAACACAAAACTTTGGCTGTATTAAATTAAAATGATCAATCCTAAATTTGTACAAGTAACACTATGTTCTGAGTAGGTTGTATTTATATATTTGAGAATATCTATCTATCTATCTATCTATCTATCTATCTATCTATCTATCTATCTATCTATTGTCTATCGATCTATTGTCTATCTATCTATTTTCTATCTATCTATCTATCTATCTATCTATCTATCTATCTATCTATCT